GAAGCTCCTGCTCAGCGCTTTCTCCTCAGAAGATATTTGTGTGAGGAAAATGGACTTTTTTTTCATCTTTGCGTCAGGGCAAACAATTGGCATGTTTCGTGAGCTCTTCCTGATAGCAGCAGCGTGGTGTTGTGGAAAGAGCTTCAGAGTGACTCAGGGCTTGCCTTAAATCCCCTGTCCTTTAATTAATGTGTGACCTTCAACTGATCCCTACTTCCTTTGAACTATGGCCTAAGCTTAGGAAAGCCCTGAAGATAGGGGAGACATCACTTCTTAGCTCACCATGTTGCTCTTAGAAGCCATGCTTTCAGTTCCCAGTTAGATTCCATATTGAATTTGTCTCCGAATGTTTTTTTTCCTGAGTTACTCTAGTCTCTCCTATTGTTTAAAGCTCCAATACTTTGTTCTTTGTCTGAGAAGTTAGTGCCAACGCCTGAATCCAGCACATAGATTCTCAGTACATGCTTGTTAAGTGCCTGATTCTAGGAATTAATTTAAAATTCATTGTAAGCTCCTTAGTGAAGCCCCCAGAGTACTCAGCAAGGCACAAAGCAAGTGCTCAAGAAACAAGATTGTTAATTCATCGATTCAACATTTATCATCTCTTCCCTCCTCTTGATTTGTATCTTCTTTGCTTTGGGAAGTTGAAATATCCTGCCACGTTTTCCATTTCCCAACTGTCACCAGCTTTGAAGTACAAATTTCCATATTCTTAGAGGATTCTGGAATCTCTCCTTATGGGACACCAAGGTAAATGTGAATTTTAGATAAAAAATAAATACTTTCTTAGATATAACTATCTCCTGTAAGAGCCTTTGGACATACTTTGTACCAAAATTTTTTTTACTATTTATCTGAAATTCATATGTAACAGAGATCTGTATTTTATCTGGTAACCCTTCTTAGAGGGTCTTACCAGAAGCAACGATACAGACATAGATGTTGTCATTTCTCAAAATTGAGAAATGACAATTTTGAGAAATGAGGCTCTGTGTTCATTAATTAGTTGGTTTCCAAACATCCCTAAGGAGCCAGAAAGCTGCTTTATCTTCCTCCAAGCACAGGTTGTGCTCATAGTCATGTGTTGGGGAAGAGAGAATCAAACCCCCCAGTTTCCCGCTTGATATCAAGCTTCCTTCATTCCATCAGTGAACTGCCCTCTCTCATCCCAGCCACTGGACAGGTGCATGTGGATATGCCATCAGCACCCAGAAATTACAGCCTCTATCTTTTGTATGCCTCCTACTGCACTAAATCACTGAGTCCTGTGTTTGTTCTTACTACTGTTATTTATTTTTTGTTGTTTTCCCTACAGAATTATTTCCTGGACCTGCCTCTTCATTCCACTTCTCTAGCTGGCTGTGCTAATTTACTGTGTCATCACCTGGGGCCTGGATTACAGCAACAGTGTCCCAGCTCTTCTGGCTCCCTGTATCTGTGCAACTTCCTGCAAATTTATGCTTATTTACCATCCTTCTCCCACCTGGGAATCCCTTTTGGGAAAAGCTGGCATGAGTCTCTATTTTCTGTTTACCAAATCAATACCAGGCTCCACAGCCTGGCCTTCAAGGCCCCAACCCTCTATGGTTTCCTCCCCTTGTCTGCTTTCCATAGACTGATGCGATACAATGTCTATTTACCAATCCCTGGGCCACATCCCTGCTCCTAGCTGCATCAACCCCATCTTTACATTTGCCCTTTGTCCCTAAATCCTTTCCTTCTCCTCTGGGTCAATCCAGGTCCCTTGCCTCCTTCAAAACCCAGCCCATTAGAGGATAACACAGCCAACTGTGAGATGGAGGAGGCTGTTCCAAGGGGAAGAAAGCACAAGAGGCAAACACAAATCGTTCAATAGATTGGATTACGCAAAATTGAAAAGCTTCTTTATGTTAAAATGTCCTATAAACGAAACAAGAGAAACTAGGAAAAAAGTTTGCTACATATAATAAAGTTAATATTCTTAATATAATTTTACAAATCGTATGAAACAGATATTCCAAAAGCAAACGAAGAAGAGATATCAGTGTGTCACACATGGACACAAAATAGAAGAGGCTGGAAACATAGAAAGCCATAAAACCTCAGTAGTATAAGAGAAGTGCAAATTGAAATAACAATGAACTTCCTTTCCCTTTATCAAATGGGCATTTTTTTAAAGACCATAGTCAATGCTGATATGAGTGCAAAAACGGGAACTTTCACACATGCTTTAGCAGGATGTTTTTTATACCTTTTAAAATAGTATAGGTTTGAAAAATCTTACTACCTTTTTACCATGTGAACAGTGTTTTCCAGTTTTTCTACAATAAATGTAGATCCTTTTTATGATTAACAATATACACAAATACATTTTGAAAATTCCTATGAAAATTAAAGATAGATGAGGAGAGAGGAGGAGAGTACCTTATCTTAATTCAAATGCTCAGCAGTGAGTGTGTTTCTCCCTCTCCTTCTGCTCCTCCCTCCACTCATGCTCTCTCTCTCCCTCAAATAAATAAATAAAATCTTAAAACAAAAAACAAAAAACAAACCAAATGGACCTGGTTTAGTAATCCATGACTGCCACTAACTAGCTGTGATTAACCTCTCAAGCCTAGAGACTTTGGCTCACAGGGCTGTGAAGAATAAAACAGAAGAAAAGGGTGTAACTTGTTACCATAGTACCTGATGGTGGTTTTTTTTTTTTTAAGATTTCATTTATTTATTTGAGAAAGAGAGCAAGAGGGAGAGAGTGTCCACACAGAGGGAGAGGGATAAGCAAGCTCCCCTCTGAGCAGGGAGCTCAATGCAGGGCTCAGTCCCAGGCCCCGAGATCATGACCTGAGCCAAAGGCAGACAGTTAACAGACTGAGCCACCAGGCACCCCCGTAGTACCTGATGATTTGTAAACATTCAAAAAATGGTAGTATCTGTATTATTGTTCTGTTATATCCTCAGCAGATAGTTTCAGTGTTCTGCATATAGTAGGTACTAAATTAAAATGTCTGACTGATGGTCTGATCTTTTAAATCTGTACCTTTAATAGTCTTAATCTTCTCTACTGACCCCATTCTCTTTTTCCCTTTCCTCTTTCTTATTCCACATCTGTTCTCTCAATCTCCTTTCTCCTTCTCATTAAACTCCTTGTCTTATGGAACAATCTTTCTTAAGTGTCTGAACAGCATTTTCAAAGCCCAACTCCAGCCTTACCTGAAGGTCAGCAGCGTTGACAATGGGTCCCAGTCTTCTCTTTACTCTTGTTCTAATTTTATTAATACCTGGCTTGAAACTCATCTGTTCTTGGAATGCTGCCTATGCTTGACTACACCTGAGTCTGTTCACATGGGTGCTTCCTGGTGGCCTGTGATATGCTTGTCTTTTGACCTTTTCTATCCTCCAGGCAGAAGCTCATTTCATGTTCCTTATGATCCTTCCTGAATGTTTGTGTTCATCCGTCTTATAAATTAAGAAGTTTATAGTATCTGTTAGTCAGCCAAATATCCTCCCTTTCCTTCCTCTTTTCCCCCTTTCATCCCTCCCACTCTTTTACCCTGCCCCCTCAGAATATAATTATTATTCTTTTCTTTTCCTCTCACATAAATTTGTATTTACTTTGGGAAAGTAGGATGAATGTTTTTGTGCCTATGACCCGTTGGCCTGATATTGACTCTATGTCCTTGTATTTTTTTTAAAGATTTATTTATAAATTTGAGAGAGAGAGAAAGAGACAGCGGGAGGGAGAGACAGTCCATAAACAGGAGGGTCAGAAGGGAGAGGGAGAGGGAGAGAGAAACTCAAGCAGACTCTGTGCTGTGTGCAGAGCCTAACATGGGACTTGATCTCATGACCTTGAGATCATGACCTGAGCCAAAACCAAAAGTGGACGCTTAACTGACTGAGCCATGCAGGCACCCCAACTATATGTCCTTGTATATTTTCGGAAACGTACACTGAACACTTTAGAGTAACTGATAAAAGATAACAACAGGAGAATGTGACCATGTGAACAGCACAAGATCTTTCCTTGTAACTCTTTTGGTACTGAGTATGGAGTTTGTCATTAGACTAGATTTGAATCTGTTTTCCAGTACTGTGCTTTCTGAGATTTAGCTTCTTTGACTGTAAAAAGGTGATAACATCTGTCTCAGAATGTTGGAATTAAACGTGTGTAAAGCACAAGATACAATCTAAGTCAGAGTAGATATAGGGCATTCTCTAACACAAAAAGAAATTTGAATTTCCCCTTTCTTTCCTAGATTTACCCATTCTGTGGGGTTTTATAATTCAGTGGGGGGAAAAATAAGACTTACATAGATTAACACTAAACATAATCAAAATTAATTTATCAAACACAACGCTTACTATGTCCCACCTACTCTACTAATAGCACTTTGTAAGATTACCTCCTTTAATCCTCATAACAGGTACTATTAGAACCCCAATTTTAAGATAAGGAAACTGACATCCCTATAGTCTCACAATTAGCAAGAAGCAGAGCAGGGAATGTAGTACCAGTGTTCATGCTCATAACTGTTGTATTCTACTTTTCTCACTCATGCCTCACACATAGTAGGAACTGAAGAGATATTCAGGTCTTTTCCTTCTAACTCCTTTGACCCAAGTAAAGAAAACCACTACACATTTCCAGAAAAGCAACCCTTACCTACTCTTTGGTGAAAACAGTTGGCTGCTTTTCATACAGGCTAAAATTCCAACCCTGTCTGGTGCAAAGGAGCCAGGGGGAAAGGGAAGAGACTGGCTATCTTCTACTCTCCAGGGTCTAGCTCCTCCAGGACCAGTGACTCTGAATATGTACTCCAGGGTGTGGAGAGGATGACGTTTAGAGAAAGTCTTTGGGACACCAAGTTAGTAGATCCAACTTGAAGCCATGATAAGGGCCAGAAAGTATTTTGTTCTAGCTAGCCTGTGGCTCTATCCATTGATTTAATGATACCAAGATACCTTGAAGATAAAGACCAATTGTAAAAGGTCTAGACTCTGTATTTAACTTTGATTCAATAATGTTAACATCTCGCCTCACGGGTAGGTTTTGCTCTGTGTGCCTCATGAAGACATTCAAAGATGTGGCAAGAAATACAGTTGACACCTCTTATGTTGATATTTCTTATTGAAATCATTATGGACACTGACTTTTCTTGAAGTAAACAATGTAACCACTAGAAGTTTCACACATTTGTATTTTCAAGCAGAATCTCTAATCTATTCAAAAAGAGATTCCAAAATGATTCCATTTCAAGGTATGTTTTTAATGAGAAACATTTCTAGTTCCAAGGTGAAGACTGAGCACTTAGGATAAGACCAAATAGATTCTGAACCCTCATTAATCTATATACCCCCTACTTAGACTTGTGGTGATAATTTTGACTGGGTTTAGAGTAAACTTAGCTTAGCTTAGCAAATGCTTTTTCTTTAAGACTAATTCATGGTGTGAGGTTCCTGGGTATTTAAAGGGTCTATGAAAGTGGTAACTTTGGGTTTGTAATGGTTGACTTAGTGGGACAGATCAGTTCTGACAGGCCATCACAGACGGTCTTAACTATTTAAAAAATAATGAAACAAGTAATTATTGTGAGTTAGTATAGTTTGGTTAATAATATTTTTCAAAATCTGGGATCCATGATGGCAGGGGGTAAGGTCTATGTGTAAAAAAAAAAAAAAAAAAAAAAAAAAAAGTCCTTGATGGTGAAAAGTTTGGGAATTGCTGTCCCAGGGTATAAATTAATAAAATCAGCAAGATCACAGAGGATTTTCAAAATATAATATAGTTTTATGTATACTACCAAAAAAAATGAAATGAAAATAACTGAAATGTAACAGCAGTTCTTTTTAATTTGTAGTCTGTGGGAAATTAATTATTTTCTTCTTTTCTGTTTCTCCAGTTTGTATTTAATTTAATGATATGCATTAATTTATAATTGTAGATATATATAATTTAGTAATTTAAAAAGTTAGACCATGATTTCTAAGCAAGTATTTTAGAAAATAATCTATATACATTTATGCACTATTCTTTTCTGTTTCATTTAATCAAGGTCCTTAAGCCTCTACCTTTCCTCTATTTCATCTAGTTCAAACCTACCTTCCTCATTTAATGCTTTTAATGGTGGGCATTTCTGCATCAGTTAGGAAGGACGTTGGGTTTGAGGTTGGTTGAGTTTTGACGAGACCTCAGTTGCAATGCCTTCCTGCCAAGCATCTGCGATTTCATAATGTTGGAGCATTCACTGTATCCTGGCACTTTGTGGCTTTCTATAAGTTTGCTGTGGCCAAACTAAGAAAGAAGGTATATGCAGATTTCTACAGAAATTATGATTCCATGAAAGATTTTGAGGAGATGAAGAAGGCTGGTATCTTTCAGAGTGCAAAGTAATGTTGGAATGTAAAGAATTTCTTTGAGTTGAGTTCCATGGAAGTTTGTCACTGACCTGTGTTTCTGAACTATGAACATGAGTACTGGGTTATGAAATAGTTTCTCTTGATAAACAACTAACAGTAACAACAAAACAGTTAATGGTGGAATGACTGATTGGGACCTGAGTCTTGATATTGGCTTGCAACTTTCAGAAAATAATGTCAAATCTGTCAATTGATTGGAAGTAGTCTAAAAGGGGTGAGGCCAAAATGAACTTCAAGAAGTCTCGAGATGTAACTAAGTTTGCTTCAGTATTCACGAGAATGAGTCAGTTAGGCCTCCAAACTCTACACTGGGGCATAGCCAAAAGCTATCTTTCCAGGACACAGCCTGGAAGATTTATTTTTAATAAAAATAAAGTACTGGTTTTCTTTTCCTATTTTAAAGAGCAATACACAGTCAATGTAAAAAATTAGAAAAGAAAACAAAACTATAAAGCAAAATGAAAGCTATAAAGCAAAAAAAAAAAAAAAAAGAAAGAAAGAGAGAGAGAGAGAGAGAGAGAGGCTTTTTTGGGGGGGAGGGGAGAATGCTCTTTTAAAACACAGAATCCAGAGTTTTATCCTCAAATGACTCAATCAGAATATCTGGGGCAGAACCTAGAAAGCTGCATTTTTAACCAGCATGCTGGGTGAGCCACTCTCCTAGTGAGGATTAGCAGGTATGAGGTGTTGAACTCAAGATAAATTCGTGGCAAAACGTACACTGAGCTCTCTGAGTTATCTTGCTGTATAAGGTAACTTAACCTTACACCCCTTTATTGTGTGTGTCATTTGGATTTATTGGCTTCTTTTTATATATTCTGGATCAAAATGATTACAGAAGCCATCCGAATAAAAAATTGAGACAGCTAAAACAAGAAAAAAAAATTTAAAAAAGGAAAAAAAATTGAGACATCTGCTACAAGATTCTATTATTATTATTATACTTATTATTACTATGAGTACTGTTATTTTGATTCAAAAAGTCTTAGAGTAGTAGAAAAAGAAGTAATGTTACTTTTATTGAAAGGAATGAAATTGAAGGGGCACCTGGTTGGCTCAGTTGGTTAAATGTTAGCCTTCTGCTCGGGTCACGATCCCAGGCTCCTGGGATCAAGTCCTGAGTCCAGCTTTCTGCTCAGCGGGGAGTCTGCTTCTCCCTCTACCTCTGCCTGCTGCTCTACCTACTTGTGCTCTCACTCTCTGTCTCTCTATCTCTGGCAAATAAATAAATAATAACTTTAAAAAATATGAAATTGAAACAATCCTGACAAATTTGGGACAAATGGCTTTGAACACTGTGAAATATGCTGAAGTATTTCCCTTAGATAGAGAAAGGTCATAGGGTGAAGCTAATAGCAAGGATAAAGCAAGCACACAGGAAAATGCAAGTTAAAACAACAGTAGATTCCACTGCACACCTATTAGAGTGGCCAAAATCCAGAACAGTGACAACACTAAATGCTGGTGAGAATGTGGAACAACAGGGACTCCTTTCAGTGCTGGTAGGAATGCAAAATGGTACAGCCACTTTCAAAGACAGTTTGGCAGCTTCTTAAAAACTAAACATAATCTGGGGCCCCTGGGTGGCTCAGTTTGTTACGTCTGATTCTTGATTTTGGCTCAGGCCCAGTTCATGATCTCAGGGTCATGAGATTGAGCCCCAAGTCAGACTCTATGCTGGGTGTGGAGCCTGCCTAAGATTCCCTCTCTCCATGTGCATGCTCTCTCTCTCTTTATCTCTCTCAAAAAAAGAAAAAAAACTAGACATACTCTTATCATAGAGTCTAGCAATCACACTCCTTGGTATTTACTCAAAGGAGTTGAAAACTTACGTTCTCCCAACAACCCGCAAATGGATTTTTGTTGTAGCTGTATTCATAATTGCCAAAGCTTGGAAGCAACCAAAATGTCCCTCAGTAGCTGAGTAGATTAATAATCTATGGTACATCCAGACAGTGGAATATTATTCAGTGCTAAAAAGAATGAACTATCAGACCATGAAAAGACATGGAAGACACCTAAATGCATATTACCAAGTGAAAGAAGCTAGTGTGAAAAGGCTACGTACTGCATGTTTCCAACTATATGATTCTGGGAAAGGTAAAACTAAAAAGATCAGTTGTTTCCCAGGGTTAAGAGGGAGGGAGGGATGGGTAGGCAGAGAACAGAGGATTTTTAGGGCAGTGAAACTACTTTGTATGGTGCTACAACGATGGATGCATGTCATTATAAATTCAAACCCTCAGTATGTACCACACCAAGAGTGAACCGTAATGTTTGCTTTGGATGGATGAACTTTGGACTTCGGATGATAATGATGTGTCAGTGTGGTTCTCCAATTGTAAAAAATATACTACTGCAGTGAAGGATTTTGATATGTGGAAGGCTATGTGTCTGTGGGGGCAGGAGGAAAGCTCTCTACCTTCTTCTCAGTTTTGCTGTGAACCTAAAACTGTTCTAAAAAATAAAGTTTATTTTTTTAAAAATGAGAGAGAAACAAAAATAACCTGATATAGGGCTTAAAAAAAGAAAGAATTCTCTTAATTATGCATTCATTCATTCGCTGGACTTATCTTGAGGACCTACTATCCTCCAGGTGTTGTGCTAGTAAAGAGAAGGAGTGTCTGAAAGACTTTTTTAAATTGAGATATAATTGATACATAACAGTGGAAAGTTTAAACTTATTATCATTGTTCGGCAGTACTTTCTTTCAGAACTTCAAAAACTGTCTGTCCAGACCTGGTAGGAAGTAGATGTGTTGTAATTATAGAATTTTATATCAAATGATAGTTTCATGAAAGATAGAGGAAAAAGAACCCTACATTTCTTGAGTACCTACTAAATGTTAAGCATTGTGATGCCAACTTTACAAACTTTGTCTCACTTAATCCTTATAACCTCCAGGGAGGTAGGTATTTTTATCCCTAATTTGCAGATAAGGAAATTGAGATTTAGGAGATGAAGTCACTTGCCTGGAGTCACACGCAAAGTGGTTGGCATTGTATTGAAACAAATTTTACTAATTCTGTTCTGACTACATTAATACTGAAGTTTTTTTTTTTTTTTAAGATTTTATTTATTTATTTGACAGACAGAGATCACAAGCAGGCAGAGAGGCAGGCAGGGAGGAGGGAGGAAGCAGGCTCCCCGCTGAGCAGAGAGCTGGATGCGGGGATCGATCCCAGGATGCTGGGGTCGTGACCTGAGCCGAAGGCAGAGGCTTTAACCCACTGAGCCACCCATGTGCCCCAATACTGAAGTTCTAATGGAGGTTTCCCTATAGAAACAGAATAATTATGAACTCAGGATTTGTTTTAAAATTTTTGACCTTTTCAAAAATAGCCTTCCCAATAAAGAACATGTGTTTTATATATATATATATATATTTATATATATATTTATACACACACACACACACACACACACACACACACACACACACACAATGGAATACTATGCAGCCATCAAAAGAAATGAAATCTTGCCATTTGCGACAATGTGGATAGAACTAGAGGGTATTATGCTGAGCGAAATAAGTCAATCAGAGAAAGACAATTATCATATGATCTCCCTGATATGAGGAATTTGAGAGGTAGGGCAGGGGGTTGTGGGGCATAGGGAAGGGAAAAATGAAACAAGATGGGATTGGGAGGGAGACAAACCACAAGAGACTCTTAATCTCACAAAACAAACTGAGGGTTGCTGAGAGGGAGGGGGGTAGGGAGAGGGTGGTTGGGTTATGGACATTGGGGAAGGTATGTACTATGGTGAGTGTTGTGAAGTGTGTAAACCTGTTAATTCATAGACCTGTACCCCGGGGCTAATAATACATTGTATGTCAATAAAAAATAAAAAGAATTTAAAAAAAAGATAAATTAAAAAAAAATAGCCTTCCCACAAAAACCAACCACAAAAGAGGAAACTCTCAGAAATGCTTGATCTTGGGGCACCTGGGTGGCTCAGTGGGTTAAAGCCTCTGCCTTCGGCTCAGGTCATGATCTCAGGGTCCTGGGATCGAGCCCCACATGGGGCTCTCTGCTCAGTGGGGAGCCTGCTTTCCCCTCTCTCTCTGCCTGCCTCTCTGCCTACTTATGATCTCAGTCTATCAAATAAATAAATAAAATCTTTAAAAAAAAAAAAAGAAAAGAAATGCTTGATCTTTACTTGACATCCAAGGTTTTTCTCTAGGATTTATAGTTACTCTATAGGTCTTAATGCTCTTTTTTTTTTTTTTTTTGGATTTATTTCTTTATTTTTAGAGTGAGAGAGTGTGCCCGCACAAGCAGGGGCAGAGAGAGAGAAAGAATCTCAAGCAGACTCCCGGCTATGGAGCCTGATTCTGGGCTAGATCCCAAGACCCTGAAATTATGACTGGAGCTGAAGCCACAAGTCAAGTGCTTAATGACTGAGCCACCCAGGCACCCTTGATACTTATCTCATAATCAGATATTGTGACTGGGTTGCCTGCTCTGTTCCCAGGGTTTATTTATTGAATTGTTCATCAGTGTCTTCATCAGAGAACATCAGAACAGTGACTGTTAAGCCTGAGGAAGTATTTATGTTTTCTACTACTAGGAGGCCCCTAGAATTAAACTAGCTCGAACACAGAGACCAGACTCCAGTTAATAGCAGGTTAGGAAGAAAATGGTAGGTGCCAAAGGGATGAGGACAATTCTGAATTTGCCATGTATGGTGCGCCTGGGTGGCTCAGTGTGTTAGGCCTCTGCCTTCGGCTCCGGTCATGATCCCAGGGTCCTGGGATCAAGCCCCACATCGGGTTCTCTGCTCAGCAGGGAGCCTGCTTCCTCCTCTCTCTCTGCCTGCCTCTCTGCCTACTTGTGATCTCTCTTTCTCTGTCAAATAATAAATAAAATCTTTTTAAAAAATGAATTTGCTGTGTTTGAATTTGCATCACTATCCACAAATTGTCTATATTTTAGACCTTGTGACTTTCTATGGGGTTTAGACAAATCCTACTCTCATAATAGAAATAGATTAAAGTTGGAACATGCCCTATGAGGATAGTTTCTTAGT